TCTTCTCATTTCTAAATGACAGTAATCTTATTAGGATCTTATGTTTTATTGCAGATTATACACACCAGGGAAACTATTCGGTATTTACACATGTGTGACTTATTTATTTCGCTTATGAGTATATCTTCAATATGTATCCATATTCTTATGAATGAATCTATTTTCTCGTTCTTTATGGCTGAGTAATATTCCATTTTATAGAAAAACCACATCTTTATCCAGTTTCCAACGGATGGGCAAATTGTACATATATTTTTGATTGTTAGTAATGAACATATAGTATATCCTCTTAAATATTATTTACACATAAAATTTTTCTTTTCTTTTGGTTTTTTGAGACAGGGTCTCACTGTAGTTGAGACTTACTTGGAACTCACTATGAAGTCCAGGCTGGTCTGGAACTCACAGTGATCCTCCTGCCTCAGCCTCCTGAGTGCTGGGATTACAGGCGTGCACCACTACACCTGGCTGAAATTTTTTATTTTAGTAGTATTTAGTAAATATTCTAGTATATAATGAAACTGGTATGTTTTCTTAAATGGCTTCTTCTAAAATGCAAATTATTTTGTGTCTTTTGGGATTTGCCTTTCACTATGTTTTCATTTTCACTCCCCATTCCCTCACCTGAAATCATTCACACATATACACATACACATTTTACCTTGTGAGGTGCTTTGGCTAGGCACTAATTTTTGAGGTTTACCTGGATTGAAGCCCAGTGTGATGTCTGTTCCCCCATTCTGAGCCCTTGGATGCCTGGGAAAAAGGTGTCTGTATGGGGTTCTTTAGCAACAGCAAGGGGATTGCAGAGATCAGGAAAGAGGAAGGAAGGAATTTTCTCTGGGCTTAAAAGTGTTCTATCTTTCCTTGGACCTATGATGTAACAGTGGAGAGAAGGACTGGTGTTCCTATGCATCTCTGGGATACAGAGAAATCTAGACTTAGACTTTATAATGATAGACTGAAAACACTGATTATTGGTAGTGCTCTGCAAAGACGATGGCAAGTACGGCCTACGCCAGAATGACCTGTTTGGTTTTTCGACACGTTTATATAAATACATGCAAGCTAACATCTCACTTCAAACAAAAATATAAAAGCCATATTTTTGATGACCTCGTGTAACTTAAGTTGGGTTTATTTAGGGCCAACATAAGGCACCAACGCAAGCAGGCTGTGCGCAGTAGAGTGTACGTGGAAAAAGAAGCCAAGAGTGAGTAGGCCAGTGCTACTCATAATGAGTGGAAAAGTGAGGCAGTGGACCAGTATTTGAAGTCTTGTATTCTTTGAACCCTCACTATAACCTATGAAGAAACTGAGGAGTGGAATAATTTACCAAAGTCATATGGCTAAGAGAGAGTAGGCGTGTCTGCTTCCAAAAACCTGTACTTTTTATGCTACTGCCAGTCTCATTCTATATATTCCTCTTTCCTTCAACATTGAGAAAGATTGTAGTCTATTCTGGTTCCACCTAATTAGAACTCAGTTTTTTTTTAATCTGTACAATGGAGTGGTAAACTGTAATTACTCTCTCTACCTTTATATAAATATTTTTCTTGGTAATGGGGATTGAACTTGGGTCCTTGAGCTTATGAGACAGGTTGGGGAACCACTGAGCTAAATCCATGGCCCCTCTCTATGGTTTTTTAACTGCTATGTTTCTGGTTGTCAATTTTGAAAAGAAAAGTAGTGGATAAACTTAGTAAAGGAAAAATTAGATTTTGTTTTGGTTTATTTTTGTGATTCACATTTTTTTCATTAGAACATGCTTGACAAGGAAACTAATGTATTGAACATTTGATGACAGTAATGTCATCATGGAATAAGTTTAAGGGTCATAAAAGAATAAACCTCAGTGTATCAGGAATGTGTAACAACACACACCTCTCTATATTTTGGCATTTGAAAAGTTAGACCTTATTAGGCTAGAAGATTAGTAAAGGTACAAACTTATATTTAGCATAAAATGTGTGAGTTAATGTTATTAAAAAGTAGTTGGTGGATTGCTTGATTTTTCTTGTTTTATAATTGTAACAAGTAGAAAAAAAAAATCCAAGATTTCAATCAGAAGAAGAAACAGCACCTGAATTAACCACAAAATAAATAACTATTAACTAATGTTAAATTTACTTTCCAGAGTGATGCTTTTAATGGTTATATAAAAACTACAAAGCTCATTATTAAAAATTTATGTTTTAGGACTGTGACAGATAATAGATTTGTCAGATGGGCAAACGTGTAATTAGGCTAACAAGTGTTGTAAGCATGGAATGTGCTTATGTTAATGGATAAATCTGAGGCTAGAAAAGTTTCCATGAATAACTTTACTTGAAGTGACTATTTTGATGTTATTCAAAGTCAAGAAAGTCTTAATAGCAGTGCACTTGTTTTAACAGTATAGAGGAGTCACTGAGTGAGAGCAACCATAGTAGCTGTAAGTCTGTTTTGTCTTGTAATAAATTGACAGAGTTAAATAATAGTTCCTGTTAAATGTACTGTAGTTTCCTAGCTCCTCAGTGATCTGACTAATTTTTCCCTTCAAGAGCTACTTTTAAAAAGTACACTGAAAAGTACAAAATTGTACCTGTCTCATAATTCTGTTTAGAAAGCTCATTTTAAAAGAATATCACAGATTTTTACCATTAGATAGCTAGTATTTGTGTACTGGTGTAGAGTACAAGCTGTGGTGACACATGCTTTAAATCATGCTCTCTTCAGTCTTGCTTTGCTAATAATAGGTTTACGGTGACCTTAGAGAAGTTTTAATTGTGATTTCTCACTAAAAATCTGAGTTGGAAAGGCCACCATTCCCTTCTTTTATTGAAGTTTGTATATTACCAACTTGTCATTGTTTGGATATATTGGAAATGAAAACTGACAGTCATAATTTAACTGTTAAGTATAATTAAAATATGAAAATTTTGCTTTGTTTATGATAAATACTAAATTTAAGCTAAGTTATAAGGTATGCTGTTTGGAAATATGGAAGATACAAGAATGAAGCCAAATAACAAGTTTATGCTTGTATTTTCTACTGATGAAGACTTTCAGAGAAGTTATTTCCATGGGTAGGTGATGTCACTCTGCATGTATATATACACATACTTTTTTGCATGATTATACATGTAGGAGTGGTACAATTTTGACTTGACTGTTGACCTTTTGCTTCAATTTGGGAGTAGAGGTGGGGAATGTGAGGCAAGTGACTCTGGTGTTAATGATATACATTTTAAAATAAATCACTAATTTATTGCAAACACTTGGACAAAACCACAAAGCCCTTTTAAAAATAGAACATATGGTCAAATAGTCAATATTGTACTTGGCCCTCATATATTCTGCTCCTAAGTATTTGGATATCATATGGTATCTTGATTCCATAATAATCATTTTGAACTCTGACGAAGACTCCATGGAATGATGCAGCTTTCTTTTCTTTTTTGGAAAAGAAAAACTTTAAACATGAGCAAAATTTTTTCTATTTGGACAAAAATTCATTACCAGATGAAACCAAGGCCACAGTGTTAAATTTTATGGTCTTTAATGAACTTGATTTACCCTATTAGGAGAACTGGAAATAATGGTCAACTAAAATAGTCATGATCGTCAGAATTTCATATTGTGACATGTCTGTTCTTTATACCGTGGCACCTAACAATTCATTTGCTTTTATGTTTGGTCATTTTTATTTTTAAAATGTAATATAAACCTGTGGTTTAAGAGCTTAGTTTGTCAAAGACAAATACCCAGGTGTGTTCCATATTTTTGTCCAGTAGCAGTTTACACAGTGGATACATGTATTAAATTGTTATATTTTTATGATTCATTGGCATATGTATTTCTTCCTGGTCCAGCGTTTTATAAAATAGGTATGTTTAATCATTTGTTGGATGATATTTTAAAATCTATAAGGAAATAAATGGTTTGCTTATACTTCATAAAGAGCTATGGAGAGGGACATAGCATTCCTTTGTTTTAGCTTTCTTCTAGTCAAGCATTCCACCATTGAGCTATGCCCCTAGCCCCCGTTTTAGCTCTCTCTAAAATGGGGCTAATAGAGGGTTTCTTGAATGAAACTATTTTTGCTTTTGCTGTTTTGTTAGGAAAAGAGTAGCATTAGCATTTTAAAGCATGTATCTATTCTACAAGCATGAATATTGACTTCTTTTAAGCATGAATTACTACAATGTAATTACTTTGGAAATTCAAGTCTGCCTTTTTCAGTTAGGGTGACTTGGGCATGGGCAATATCTCTTACTGTTTCAGTAAAAACTTTTACTATCTTTAAAATCACACATAAGATTATATATAATTTATTTGGAATGTGAGCTGGTTGTCTTTCTCAGGGAAAAGAAAATATAAATATTGCTCACAAGTCTTGCAAAGCATAATCCTTAAAATGGGGCTTGGGGATATTGTCTTTTTGTGGAATGTTGTAATGTGTATAACTTCCCTGTTATTTTAAAAAGGCTTCACTGGAAATAAGTTAGTTAAATATAGCTCTAGTGTTAACTTTTATTTCTTTAGTAAATAGGAAAATATATATTTGATTTTCTTCTCTGACTCTACTAGGAACTTTTATGTACTAAGAGAATTATATTTATTTTCTTAAAATTAATAAATTGAGTTTTAACAGTTGTCAGTTTTTTCTTTTAAGAAGTCAATTTCGCTTTCTGTGTAGAGTCATTCCATTTTTCCTAATCTGTTGCTCCTTAGTAATATGAGGGGAATTTAGTGTAACATTGTTTGGTATAGTCTTGTCATCTTCTGTTCTTCATAACTCTTCTCTTCCTTTCAAAAATGTGTTCCACATCTTTGTAAGCTCAGGTTATCTTTTCCACTTTCACATCATGTCCAAAATACTAGATGTGTAAAGCACAGCTTTTCTAATGAGATAGAATAATAAGATAAAGGCAACTAGCATTTAGAGGACTCTTAGGTTCAGAATTATTTTTTACCCCACAAGTTAGATACAAGTATACATTTTCTTTCCTCCCTAGATGGACCTCCAGTTGTAGCTCATTATGATATATCTGACACCAGCTCTGACCCTGAAGTGGTAAATGTGGACAATTTATTGGCGGCTGCAGTAGTTCAAGAGCACACTAATTCTGTAGGCGGCCAGGACACAGGAGCTACCTGGAGGACCAGCGGGCTTCTAGAGGAGCTGAAGGCAGAGGCAGGTTGGTCTCCCCCACCCCTTCTGTAATGATGTAATGTGCATGTGTCCCAGTACCTGTTTCTCCTGGGAGTGGACCCTGCTGAGGAGAGCAAGTCATACCAGACCCATCTGGCTTTGAATGAGTGTGAAATCCACGCTGCCGAGTATATATGAGAAGATGTGGTTAGCATGTCATTCATCTTTCCTAATCAGAAAGAATCAATGATGATATTAATAGTAACAACATTAATTGTAGGCATCAGATTTCAGCAGGCATCTTTCTCTTCTCTCCTCTCCTCCCCTCCCCTCTCCTCTCCTCCTCCCTCCCTCTCTCTCTTTCTTTCTTTCCTTCCAGGGATCAAACTCAGGACCTTAAGCTTGCAAGGCAGACAACACCACCACTGAGATAAAGCCCCAGCCCCATCAGACATATTTCTTGGATTAAAATGCCCAGTTACGCAGAAACAGTCCAGATACCCTCATAGTCTTTGGCCACTCCTTTCCCTCACTTAACTTTGGATAGCAGCCTTGCAGCTTCTTGGGGAACTTGAAACTCCTGATGTTGCTATTTCTCTGCAGCACTGCTACTGCTGCTTCTCTCCTTGTAAGGGTGAGTCTCTAGTGTCCTCTTGGTCTTTTCTTTCAGTTTCTGCCTCTGTTATTATCTCCAGAAAAATCTCTCTTCTGTCTTGCATTATTTTTCTTAGTACTGTGATTATTTTTGAGTGATTTAATTCTTAAAAAAAAAAAAGCCTGTAATTACCTTTGGAAACCTTTCACAATTCCTTCAGAATGTCTTCAGTATTTTTCTGAAAAATTCTAATTAAAAAAAAGTACTAGTATTTAAGTTTAAGATAAAAAGGGAAGGAAATGAGAAAACATACTGCTTATAGAGTATATATTTTCTTTAGTGTTTTTGAAGGATTATTTGTATTGTTTTTATCCTCTAATAGTAGTTTAATTACTATATTAATAGTAGTTTAATTGCTATATTAAACTTTTTTTCCCTTCAATACTGGGGATTAAACCTACAGGTACATTGTCACTGACCTATAGCCCCCAGACTTTTTGTTTGTTTGGTTTTTTGAGACAGGATCTTGCTGTTTAGTTCATGCTGGCCTTGAACTCATTATGTAGGTCAGGCTGACCTCAAACTAGTGGCAATACTCCTCGTTCAGCCTCCCAAGTGCTGGGATTACAGTTGTGTGCCACTATGCCTGGCATCCCCCAGATCTTTAAATAAAATTTTTAGAGTCAGGATCTGACTAAATTTCCTGGTTTGGCCTTGTGTTTGTGATCCCCCCTGCCTCAGCCTCCCAGAGAGTTGGAATTACAAGTGTGTATATCATGGTGCTTGGTCTAAAATATTTTTACTGGTACTGGGGATCAAATTCAGGACCTTGTGCTTGTGAGGCAGGCACAGTGCCACTGAGCTAAATCCCTGGCCCTGAAAATGAGTTTTATGTTTTAAAAAAGTTAGGAATTTTTATATTGAAACAGGACGCCACTGATTGTTATCCCAAATTCTTCCTCATAATCTGAATTGAACTGAAGGAAAAATCCCTTATTTGTTGAACTTCTCATTGATTTATTGTATCTAATTTTCTTGTTTTTTTTTGGTACCGGGGATCGAACTCTGGCCCTTACGCTTGCAAGCCAGGCAGCAGAACCACTGAGCCAAATCCCCAGCCCAATTGTATCTAATTTTGAACTAGGACCTGGGTTTTGTTTTGGCTTTTAACAAAATTTTTTTTTATTGCCGTCTGGCCTGTTTGATCTTGTACCAGTCATTTTCTTCTCTGGACTGTAGTTTTTATATACATAAATTCTTGTTTGCCCAAGAGGAGTCTATTAAGGATTTATTAGTGCTGTATATAATAAGTACTTTTAAAAGAATTAATACTTCATATCAAAGGATAGTGGTTTGACCACACTTTATACAACATATGTTCCTAAGCTGTGACATCTGTTCTGTATACTAGATGGCTTATCTTTTTCTTCATTGACATTAAATAATCCATTGTACTTCAGTTTTTCCCTGTTCTTTAGTGATGCCATTAAATATGGACTGCGTTATAATAAATTCTTACAGGAAAAAATGAATCACAATATTTTACTCTTTATGTAGAGAATTGTTAGTAGCTTGAGCCATGAGAAATCATTAATATTAGACTTTGATTTATTAAAACCCAGTGATACCATTTGATTCAATCAAATAGTTCAGAGTTTGACATCATTAAAGCTACCAGCGCCAGGAAAGCACTGATATTTTCAGCTTCATTACAGTTCTCCTTAGTATCCATGGGGTATTAGTATCCAGATCTTTGCATATAAACTATGTATATTCTGTTTAGTTTGAATGATCTCTAGATTTCCTGTTATCTAGTACATTGTAAATGTTTTATGATGATACTATATTGTAGAGAACAGTGGCAGGCAAGTGTGTATATGTTCAGTAATACATGCACAGCTTTATCCCTGATACTTTCTATTAGAAATTGGTTGAGGGCTGGGGATTTAGCTCAGTAGTTCCACCATCTGCCTCACAAGTGCAAGGTCCTAAATTTGATCCCCAATACAAATAAAAAAATTTTTTTTGGTTGAATCAGTAGATGTGGAAGGAAGGCTCACTAAATAGCTATCTAAAGCATTACAATCAGAGACCTGTCTTTTTTTTTTAAGAATCGAATGTGGTGCATAGTGTATAAGGAGGGATGCACCTGAAGCTTCAGCTCTATGTCCCATCTTTTATCCCTTCTCACACCCAGAGTTGTTCCAACTTTGGTATTAGTTTGATATGCCTATGTATTTCTTTGTATAGTTTTACTTCCATTTGTTATGTATCTGTAATAAGTACATTGTAAATCTAATTGGACAGATCACTGGACCATTGTGCAAGAGACCTTGGGATTAATTAACTTGGTACTATATTTCAGGTAATCACTTGCGACTTATTACTTTGAGAGGCAGGGTTGGCGCTGGACCTTTTTTTAGTTCAACATTTTATGAGCTTTATGTATTTTGTTTGCTTTTTGTTTTTTGAGACAGGGTCCCCCTGTATAGTTCAGACAGGACTTCAACTCACTGTGTAGCCTGGGCTGACCTTGAACTTGGAGCAGTCCTCTTACTGCAGCCTGCCAAGTTCTGGGGTTACAGGTGTACACTACCACACCTGGCTGTATGCTTGTTAGATGTGAGTCTGGTTCATTGATTTTTTTCCCCTCCATTGCTACTTAGTATTTCATTTTACGAATATATCCGTTTACTTATTATTTTGTTGGACATTTAGGGTGGTATTTTAAATGATGCTGTCATTAGCATTTGTTGTATCTCTTAGTATATGTGTGTAATAATTTCTTGGTGTATGTGTGCAATATTTTCTCTAGGCTATACCTCTAGCATATACTGCACATGTGCATGTTGGGCCATGAAAGTGTGTAAATTTTTGTTTAGAACATAGGAATAGTCACCACTATTCAGCTTCCCGTGCCATTTGACATTTTCTAATGAAGCCATTTATTTACTCTTTCAAAGTAATTATTCCTTTAAATCTGACAATGTAGGAATGTGAATAATAAACTGAATTTTATTAGTGGGGATGTATCTTTTTTAAGTGTCATATAAATAATAGAGGTACAGTAGCTTGCTGTTTTTTTCAAAGGAATTGAATGGTGTTTTTATATCCAAAATAGTTGTTACTATTTATTTTAGTTTTGAGCTATGCCAGAAAGTAGAGTAACAAGAGATTTTAAAAACTAAAATGAAATCAGGAAATCCCCTGGTCAGTGAGAGACCTAAGATTTCTATTTACTTTTTCTTACTTGATGCTAGAATTGTACGTGTAGGTTGTGATTTTCGAATCAGCAGCCACTTAGAGATAATGTGACTTTAAGGTAAATTATGTAAAGCATCAGTTTTCCCTGTCTGCAAACCTGGGATAAAAGTAGAGTCTTAGTTACTTTCTTATTGTTGAGACACAATACCTACCACCACAATTTAAAGGAGAAAATGTTTATTTTTGCCTCACAGTTTGTAGAGATTTTAGTCCATAGTCAGCTGGCTCCCAGAAGGCAGGGTGGCTTGGCAGAGAAGTTCCTTCATGGCATGGCAGCAGGAATAGAGGGTGATGGGAAGAGATAATTCCTTCCAGGTGATATAAAAAATAATTAGAGATACAGTAGTTTGCTTATTTTTTCAGTGACCTCCTCTGACCAGGCTTCACCTTACAACATCACATTTTTAGCCCATAAACTCAGTAGTGGATTAATTTCCTGATAAGTGTGATATTCCCATGATCCAGTCACTTCGCAAAATCCCCAGCTGTGAATGTATGAGGCTCTGGGGAGACATCCAGATAAAAACCGTAACAAGTAGTGTATAACCTGCCTCAGAAGGATATTGTAACATCAAGGGAAATAACATATACACTATGCTTAGAACAGATGCAGCACATAGTAACCTTCAGGAATGCTAACTGCCATTGTGTTAGTAGTATGAGCTAAAGTACACTAAGTAAGGAATTGATTAGGATCAGTCAGTGTATTTATGGTTTACTGTCCTTCCCTGTAAGTGCTACTGTATTTCCTGAACTTTGTCTGAGTTACCCAGGGTGTTTATAAAATTCACACTTCTCAGTTTATCCCTTAAGATTCCATTAGTAGTTCTAAAGTGGGGCTTGGGAATCTTTTTAATGATAAACCCTTGGTAACTCTTAACATCCAGTATGTTTAGGAAACTGTACAAGCATGTCTGAAAATGGCTTTATTTTTGTTAATTTCTTGTATTTGTTCAGTATAAATATAAATGTAGTGGGGGCTAAAAGAAACAGAAATCTGAAGTACTCTTGGATGGAAGGTTTGTCATTGTGATAAACAATTTATTTAGATAGTTTTTGGCCTGGGAAATTACAAATTATGAACATAAACACATTGCTGTCCCCAATCTGCCTTCTGGTTAAGAAGGTAAGTGTGAGCCAGGCATGGTTACACATCTTTATAATTCCAGCTATTTGAGAGGCTGAGA